AGAATGACGAAAACTGGATATAATATATATATATGCGTCAACCAACCTGGTAATAAATGTTTTCATATGTTTTTGTTTTCGTTTCAGTACTAGTGATGAGGATGAAGCGATTAGGAGAACACCGGTGCTCACGTACGTGATGACATACACGTTTCCCGGTATTACAATCGGCCTTGTAATGTTGAAATACCACGACAATCCAAACAAGGTTTTCATCAATAACGTAGTACCGTTGTGGTGTTTTATCGCGTCTACTTTCGTTTATTGGCTAATAGCAGAGGCAATGAAGAAATTAACGCTAATAAAATCCGACGGTACGTTGTCTCAAATGTCACTAATCTTTCTACCCTACCCGGAATCGCTCGTGCCTCTTATAATCTGGATACCTATGCCCGTGATATTTGTGACGTGGCCTATATCTCATTACATGTATTATAAGTTTATTTGCCCGGGAATCGATACTCTTGCACACAAAATTCGATGCCATGATAAAACAGAGCAGCAACTATCTTCCCTTGTGTAAACCAAATGGATCGGATTTGTTGTAGTTACATTTGATATGTACTCGTTTGTTATAAGTGATGTATTGAAATTGTGATTATTTTTTATATTACAATCACCCCCATGATGTGAGGTCTATTTCCGAAACCCCCCTCAATTGTCTGTAATTACATCCGTTCATTGCAATTTGTAGATTTCTTACATTAACTTCCTTTTGTAGGGGTTGTATGTAAGAAAATTTATAAACTGCAGGGGTTGTATGTAATTTCTCAAACACAAGGTCTTTTTGTAATTACACTTCACATCAGGGAGTTGGTTGTAATATATCCTTAATTTTTTGGGTAAAGTTTACTTACGAAAAAACCCCTTATTTTTGATAAATTATATCCAACCCCCTACAGTTTGTAAATTTCTTATATCTAATCTTACAAAGGGCGTTAATGTAAGAAATCTACAAATTGCAAGATGTAGATGTAATTATGTAAAAAATAAAGAGGGTTTTGTAAATAGATATTACCTTAGGGGGTTATTGTAATTTACCCTTTTTATTTAATTTTTTTAGTGCAAGTAAAGTGTAGGGGCATATTTGTCATTGCACTTGGAAGGGGAAAAAAAAAGTAAATCATATGACTCAACAATACATATAAATGAAAATTTGACATTTATATTAATAAATCAAGACTAATCGAACAAGGCCTTGTTTGTTTTAATTGAATTGCATATGGATGGTGTGTTTTGTCAAATCTCGTTTGAGGCATTATACTCCAGTATCGAACGTTCGTTAAGAGAGTTGGCATCGGACATTTGTTATTAGAGCAAATATCGAAAATTTTAATTTAAATTTTATGCCTTTCTAAGGAGGCTCTGTTTTACCGACCCTCATTAGGAGAGTTGGTACCTAGTCTTACCAATAGGGTAAAAGGTCTAGGGCTCGAGTCCCCCTCCCCTACTTCCTCTTGTAATGACTTGAATTACTCAAAAAAAAGCCTCTGTTTAAGCACTTTAGTCTTTACGCGTATAAAGTGGACAAGGATATTATTTCGGACTCTTTGCTTTGCCCGATATTCGAATTCTTTCCAAAATTAAACTATCGAATGTAGTACAACCATATTCCTGACGTTCCCATCACTGCTCAATGTAACGTACCTTTTCTCAAGGGGGCACATACTGTAGAGTAAAGAACTCCGAATTAATATCACTCCGCAACACTAGCATAGATCTCCTCAAGACTCGAAGAATCCTTAATGGAAACAATATGGAGTTGATCTCCATACAGGCTGTAGGTACAACTCCCTAACAATTCAGTGGAGGACATCCCTTCACCATCTGTATCCATCGTTTGGAGAAAAAAAAGAGGAATGTTGTAACAAAATTTCGGGGTGCGAGTTTCTTTTACCACTAGAGGCGTAGAGGTGACGGTTTTGTTATTCAACTAAGTAATTTTTTGTTCGCGGGTGAGAGTTTTCTTCGCGGCACAAAAAAAATCTAGGGATTTTTTTTTTCTTCTGTTTTTTGATAATAAATTAATTAATAAAAGAAAAGAAAAATGAATTAAAACGGGACTTTGTACATTTCAATAGGTGGGGAGTGCGTGTTAAAACAAACAAACAATAGGGCGTTGGGTTAACAAACAAACATTATGGTGGATATAACCTCTTTTTCATAATTAATATTTAATTTTATGTCTATATTACCCTTTTACGATATTAAAATATCAAACCATATTTCTCTAATTCCTCTTCCATTTTTTATTTACAAGCCGCCGCACCTCTCTCTCGTTCTCTCCCCTGCGCCACTGCTACTCATCTCCACCGAGCCGCCTCTCCACTTCCACCATTCCTCATCTCTGCCCCAACGTCGCGTCACGATCTTCCTTGTTTCCCCTCATCTATCTTCGTCCCCGATCCACAGACCGCCGCAATCGCTCTCCCGACTAAAGTTTAGAAAATAATTCGGTAAGAAAACTCTGATCATTTCTATGGTAGAAAATTGGAGGCTTAAAAGATTTTATTTTTGTAACTTAATTGTTCATCGAATCATTGAGGAAGAAATAATATTTAGATTATGATATATTCTTTACATCTATTAGGATGAGTATTATTTTTTTCAAATATTCGGGTCACTCATAAATTAGAATCGATGTCTGATTTTGTAATGATGTATTTATTCGTGGTTTTCTTGTATAAAGAAATAGAATAAAATATAGGTATTTTTCTAATTGATGACAATATAGTTGTTTTTTTTAGTTATTTATGCTACTTTTTTATAGTTGTTTATGTTGCTGTTGTATTTTGTTTGTTATTATTATTTGTAGTTTGATTTGTGATTTTTGTAGTTGTTTTCTTATTTGCAGGTGTGGTATGCTAAGAATTTCTTATTCTTGCATTGTTGTTGGTGGTGCCGACGACGGATCTCCGTAAAAGTGGAGATGAAAAAGTGAAGTGATAGAAAAGGAGAATGGTGGATCTCGTGCCTAGGGTTTTAGAGCGTGTCGAATACTTTTTGAATTTTTGATTTGAGACGGTTTTTGATGTTTTTTCGATTAAATTTTGCATTAATCCGTAGTTACTTACAGGCCGATCGGGGAACAATTTAATAGTTGATTTTCATATTTTATAGTTGTTTTCAATAGTTTATAGTTGTTTTCGCTTTTTGTAGTTGTTTTCGATTTTTTGTAGTTGTTTTCGATTGGTAGTTGATTTTCGATTGATTTTGATGTTTATATATTTGATTTCGTTAATTTATAGTTGTTTTTATTTCAGGTCAAATCTACTATTGTAAATCACTATTTTTTGTGTTTGTTTTAGAGTTTTTTCTTAGAGTTGATTCGGTGAAAAAACGATTTTTTTCTAGTTATTATTTTCAATAATGTTGTAGTTGATTTTAAAAATTAAGCCAAAAAAAGAAGACAAAAGACAAAATTGTAGTTGATTTTTGGAAATAGCCGTTTTCGAATTTTTGTAGTTGATTTGAAAACCAACAAAAAAATAGTTATTTTCGGGAAAAAATTGCAAAAATAACTGAAAATTAAAATTAAGAAAAATGAAATAAAAAAATCGAAATTATAGTCGATTTCGGAAATATTATAGTTGGTTTCAAAAATTTTATAGTTGATTTCGATCGAAAAACCAGAAATTAAAAAAAAAATTAAAATATTTTTTAAATACAAAATTAAAAGAAAAATATTTTTTTAAAGCATTTATTGTTTGTTTTTAAATAAAATAATAAAAAAACGAAAATTTAAATTTATTTAAATTATATATAAAAAAAATTAGAGTTTGTAGATGGGAGTTTATGAAAAGATTTGAGAAGCGTTCTTCTAATATTGAAAATATGGCTAGATCCCTATTTATTAAAAAAGTATTAGAGGGGTTATGACTAATTGTCCCAAAAAATAAAGCAGGGAGTTGTGTGTAAGTTGAGAATGAGTTTTGGTATGTTTAAATAAAAAAACCCTTTTTTTTCCCTTTTTTCTCTTTAATTATATTGATTATATTTAATATTTTTTATTTAATTACAAAAATCCACGGTGTAACGTTTGTGGATGGAAGGACCCAACGTTTGTGAACCTTCTTGATTGATTGAATTTAATATTGATTTTTTCGACGTCAAATAATTCATGACATCACAGGGTACATGGATACGTTAGTTCGTAAAATTTGGTCTTGACGAGTTGATTGAATTTTATATACCAGTGGTGGAACCAGGATCAAAATATAGGGGAGTTAACTAAAATTTTGGAATTTGGGGTGGTGCTCTGAAAAAAAAAAATTTAGGTTCAGAATACATTGCAAAAATAAGTTTATATTGAATTTTTTCAATTAAAATGACATATATATTATAATTTTATCATATTTTAAGCATGACAAAAAATCTAAATTAATCCAAATTATTCTAATAATGTATCTTACTTAATATTTTGCGGATTCATTGCATCGTCTCATATTATTTTGTAGAGTCACTGATAAAAAACTAAAACTAAGTAAATATTCATAAATTTTATTTAAAATAATAGAAGTTTTAACCATTTTATTTTAATTTTTTATATTAAATGTATATATATATATATATATATATATATATATATATATATATATATATATATATATACTAGGGGGAGAGGCACCGCGCAATGCGCGGTGCTGTTTGCCCACTATCTATGAGTAATTTTGATGGCAATATCTGTTGATTGTTGATAAGAGGCAGACTCTGGTCTTTAAACCGGTGAGCACTTCTGGCTGGGTTCAAATCATGCAGCACCTATATTGTAAGCAACCCCCAAGGCTGAAGAATTATATGCATTCTATTTGTTACGTTATTTTACTTACATTGATCAATATCGATAGTCGAGTTACATAAGTGATCTCGAAAGCCCTTTTTTGTTGGCCACATTCGGAGAGCCCTTTTTATATTTGGTCATACCTGTAGTACAAGATACAAGTGCGGAGAAAATAAGTTGTTTGCCGGAGATGAGAGGATTAAACAACGGTTACTGCATACTGTCGATATTCACAAGGCATACCATATATTGTTTCATTTATGAGTTTGTAATACTACATATATCACAATTCATAGTATGTAAAACTTACACCCTCGCAAGTAACCAAAAATCCAAACAATCTCAAACGAAACATGCACCGATACTGCATTTGTGTGCAATGCAAAAAAATAAAATAAAACGAAATTATGAATCGGCGCTAAAACTGTTACACATGTTACAGATACTTGTAGAATCCATCCAAAGGCTGATAATCCAAAATTATGGAATAACTCTTTAGCAAGAAAAATGAGCAATTCTTGTTACTCTGAAAACAAATGAGACAAAATCATTTGTAATGTCGCTGGCCATAGATGTATCAGGAAATTTGAGAACAATGTTACTGCATTGGCAAAAAAATAATATGCATATAAATTGTAGCTGCTAAGATTACCCCTAACTATGCATATTTAGAAAGACCCCTAAACTAAAGTTTAATACGAAAAATTACCTAAACTAAAGTTTAATACGCAAAATTACTTTTGTACCTCATGTATTTTTACTGATTGGTTTGAACCAAAAATCCTTATTGACATTCATAATATTTTATAAGTCAGGGTCGCAATTGATGTCTATCTTGCTAATATACACACACACACATATATATACAGACATAAAAATATCGTTTGTTAGTAGTATTGTAGCAAGTTATTTATATAATATTGTTTGATAATCTAATTGATTAAAATTAGCAGTAGAAGCTATAAGAAAACTATTTCATGAAATCAAAATAATATATGAAGGGCTTGAGGCTTACAAAATGTGAAATATCAATGTATGCGTTAAAATCGTGAAGGAGCTCTTTTTTGCAGACACCTCTGACAAAATTCCCTTTTCTCAGAAATATGAGGCCGTGAAATGTTCTCAAGATTTTCCTGTATAAAGACAACCAAAGGAATTAAAGCAATGTGTAGTTGTGTACTGGAAAGAAAATCATAAAATGATATTATCATCACTTTTTCAGTATAGCAAAGGTAAATACTGAATAAATAACTTCGGTATGGGCGTACAAATAAAGAGCTACGAGAATGGCAAACCAATTTATATTCGACGGAAATATATATACATAAGAGGTGTGCAGCAGCATTATGTTATTGCAAGTGAAATATAAAATCTGCATAAGAATATAGTTTACGACTAATAAACAGGTCACATAAGATTCTTTGGTAAAAAAGAAAAAAAAAAATCAACGCAGTGCGAATACGACATAAAATATTTCGAAAAACACCAGAGATGAAAATATCGACACCCAATAGGCGCCGATGGACCAGAAAATCATTGAAGCAAATTCCTCTAACTACAATTAACCTCAATGGCATGATGATATTTTTAAGAAATGAAACACAATCACAATATATTAGCTAATTCAATTATCAAATAAATCTTCAACTAAACAAAGCTTCTGCCTCAATCTAATTTCAGAAGTAAATAAATAAAAAAATGATAATACGAATTGAAGAATTTGATTTAAAAATTAAATATAACTAAAAGAATTTACACTTGTTTTAATTAATAAATTTCTTCCGAGGTCACAAGCAACATTAACAAAAATGGAAGAAATAAACAATAAATCTTACAAAATGAAGCTCCAATAGCGATAAACAAATTTAGTGCAACGGGGTCAACACCTAGCATCGGAAACATTCCAGACCTTCACAATGAAAGAGGAAGTTGGAAATCAATTATGTATCAACAGAGGCAAAATATTTAAAACCTTAAATCGTTTTCTCACTGAAGAGAGCGGCGGTGGAGTTGTCGCAGAAAGAGGCGAGAGGAGATGAACACCGGTACTTTTCTCTCTTCTGTGAATTAAAGGAAACAAATATGAGAGAAGGAAAACAATTAAAAATGGGCTGCACACGTCAATTTACGTCAGGAACCGACAGCGGGCCCCTACAGCAGAGTTCCGACCCGATTATAAGAAATTGGAAAAGATAGTTACTTTTTTAAAATCTGTGCAGTACCTTCGACCACACTGGATTACGCCGATTAGTTACTTTTTTAAAATCTGTGCAGTAGCACAACCTTGGACCACACTGGATTACGCCACTGGGTGGGGACACCAAGTCACCAGCCCCTTATTTTGACACCAACCCCTTTTTTTTGTTTGTATATAACAATATACCCATCCATCTTCTTGCTCAGTAACTCCAACAACACAACACAACACAACAACAACAAAAAAAAAAAAGGAAAAAGAAAGGAAAAAAATGTCGAACGCCCAAGTCGATCTTCACAAGCGTGATCACGCTATTCACATTTCTGGCGAGCCGAACACCTACAGGTTGGTTTTTAATCTATAAGCTGCAAAATTAATTCATAAATGATGAAATCAGATTTAATTCAATCTGTTTTGCGTTTTATGTATAGCGACGCTGCGGTGGAGGAAAAGAAAATGCCTTGGTTTATGTACGTGATGATGTACTGGCTAGTAGAAGAAGCAATGAAGAAATCAACGCTAAACCCGGACGGTAATTGCTTTCTTATATTACACCTAGCTGCTCTGGCTTCCGGTTTTCTTTCAGTGTTGTCTCAGATTTCATTGATCTTTCGGGTTTTTTGCAAGAACCACCCTTGTGTAAACTCTAATTGCTGAAAAACCCCTTGTGTTAAAAAAATTAGCACGGACCCCCCTATGAAAGTTAGTCAAAGCCAATAAGGTCCCTAACGGGTTATCGTGTTCTTCACGCGCGTATTGTGCGGCTGGGGGTGCGTGTTCTAACCTGAAAAGACCTAAATACCCTTAAAATCAAAAAAATTGAAATTACAGATTAACCCCAAAATTTTCATTACCCAAAATGAAAGTTTCAGAATTTTCAATTCAGTCCTTGGCAATTTCAAAACGCCATCTCCCCCAAATTATCTCATTCCCGTTTAAACTTTCCACCATTTTCACGCACAACCCACACAAAATCCTACCCCGATGGCGCCCCTTAGCCGGAAATTGACCAAACGATACGTTTTTCCGCACGCTTTTCCGACAGATTTTTTTTCCCGACGGAATTTGTTCTTAGACAAATCACTCCATTCCTTCATGTTTTTTTCCAGCAAAAAACCAACAAACATTCTAAGCTTGAAGCTCTTTTCTACATCAAACCAAATCAAGGGAAGGGCCGGAAATTTGAAAGCTGAGCTTTAAGCTTTTTCCTGAAATTTCCGACCGAAAATTCCAACTGAAATTTTCAGAAATTTGCCCAGAAAACCTTTTTTTTTCTTTCCTTGCAGCACAACATCCCGATACACTCTTTTCTTCTCACGATATTCTGCTCTTCTTCTTACGATATTCTGCTCCAAATGGGTTGACCTCGGTGAAGATGGTGGCACACAAAAGATAATTGATTGGGAAGAGAAGGTCAGGGTGGGGTACAATACTGAATGGGAAAATCTCGACGAGGGCACCATTTTGTTTTCCGACGATTGAGTCAGTGTTTTACCGATCACTAACTTGCGAAATACATTTGGGGCGATGGAAGCGATGGTTGGAAGAAGAAGAATGTATTTAATTAATGAATTTAACTTCATTTATGTAAATTGAAAACAAATTGGTGTGTTGGGTATATTTGTATTTTATGTATTAGGGGTATTACAGTCATTTAAGCTAAGTCAACAGTCAAATGGTGAATAATGGGCGATTTGCACTACTAAATAGAACATAAGGGGATCGTTGCTAATTTTTATTACACAGGGGGTTTTTTGGCAATTAGAAATAACACAGGGGGTTTGGTGCTATTAACTCTTGATCTTTCTTACGTACCCGGATTCTGAGATATAATACCTCTCTCATTGCATGAAAACAGAGGTTATGCCGAACACAAGCGGCGGGGATCATCACACTCGTCGCGATTGTGCCTCCAGGTGCGAATCTTGTTACCTTTATTAATTAGTCTGTCTTTCGTCGTGATTAATGGCTTTGTCTTGCGAATCCCTGCGATTTTATTTTCTTTCTTTTTTTTTTTTTTTTTTTTTTGGCGCGGGGAATGGTGAAGAATGACGAAAACTGGATATAATATATATATATGCGTCAACCAACCTTGTAATAATGTTTTTCATATGTTTTTGTTTTCGTTTCAGTACTAGTGATGAGGATGAAGCGATTAGGAGAACACCGGTGCTCACGTACTTGATGACATACACGTTTCCCGGTATTACAATCGGCCTTGTAATGTTGAAATACCACGACAATCCAAACAAGGTTTTCGTCGATAACGTAATACCGTTGTGGTGTTTTATCGCGTCTACTTTCGTTTATTGGCTAATAGCAGAGGCAATGAAGAAATTAACGCAAATAAAATCCGACGGTAATTGGTTTCTTGTGTTACAGTTAGCTGCTCTGGCATCCGGTCTTCTTTCAGTGTTGTCTCAGATATCACTTATCTTTCTACCCTACCCGGAATCACTCGTGCCTCTTATAATCTGGATACCTATGTCCGTGATATTCGTGACGTGGCCTATATCTCATTACATGTATTATAATTTTATTTTCCCGGGAACCGATACTCTTGTACACAAAATTCGATGCCATGATAAAAAAGAGCAGCAACTATCTTCCCCTGTGTAAACCAAATGGATTTGTTGTAGTTACATTTGATATGTACTCGTTTGTTATAAGTGAATATATATATGGGGATCGTCCCCCCCTTTTTTTTTTTAATTTTCTTTTGCCCCATTTTAATAAGAAACGCCGTCGTTCCGTTGTTTGGTTCCAATCATCTTCTTCCATCTTTTTCTTTTCACTTTATTTCTGGAGCAGCTCGACGGCGTCCTGCTTCTTTCTTTTCATTTTATTTTGATTCTGCTTGCTATGAAACGACGTCGTTTGGGATACCCCTCCCACTTCACGTGCCTTCCTCGCCTACTATTGTTGACCATTCAAATTTCTTACGAGAAATGAAGCTGAAAACCCTAACTATTGTTTCTGAAAATGGAGTTCCTCAGCTCAAATCTCGATTCCGCCTTGTCGAATATCTCACTGCTCTCCAAATTCCACTCAAAACCCTCCTCAAATCTCTTCTCTTCTTTCAGATTATCGAGTCTCAACAGCCGGAGAAGAAACAAGAATCATCTTTGTCCGAACCTCGTTTTCTGTAATAAGAACACCTGCCCACAAGCCGATAATCAATATTTTACAGCTGAAAATAAAGATTTTATTAAAAGGGTCGGCCGAGGAGTGCTCGGTTTCGCCGCCGCCGTGTCGTTGCTCTGTGATTCGCCGGCGTTTGCTGAATCACTGACTGTAGTTTTTCCTCTTTCTCACAACCGTGAGGTAATATTTAAAAAAAAAAACAAGTTATTTATTTATTTCATATTAATAAATATTATTTTAATCAGATTCTTAGGTGAATACTGTACAAAGAACACTTGTGGAGGCATGGGGTTTGATTAGAGAAACCTTTGTGGATCCAACTTTCAATCATCAGGGTAAGAAAGACCAAAATGCCCCTCGTCGAACTTCTTTCTTTTGATTAGTTTTTCAAGTGTTGAAAATGAATGTAGTTGTGTTCTTGAATCAATAGTTGACAACATTAGGATGAGAGCTTCGTGTTTGTCGTTTTATCGGTTTTATCCTTGTCCGAATCAATGAGCTAATAATTCGAAGGGGGCTTATGTTTTACAGATTGGGACTTAAAATTACAACAAACGATGGTCGAAATGTTTCCACTTAGATCAGAAGATGCTTTCGACTCTTGGAGATCCTTTTACGCTCACAATCAGTCCTAAGGTATTTTTTTTCGTGTCTTAATTAATTAATTAATTCAAATTTTACTTATGATCCATTTTTCGTACATTAATGGGCAGTGTATATATATATATATATATATATATATATATATATATATATATATTTGTTACATGCAGGAATATCAAAGTTTTAGAATAGGAAGCGACGGAAATTTGCAAGGTGTCGGCTTATTTATCAACGTTGAACCGCAGACCGGACACATGGTGGGTTGACTTTACGCATTTCCGTACTTTTTTTTTATAATATCGAATATTGATTTGCTTTATTTTTTGGTTAATTATGAAGTTTTTTTTTTTCCAAGATTGGCATGTAATTCTCGATTTTACTTTATTTCAGGTTGTTTTATCGTGCATAGAGAATAGCCCAGCTGCGCGGGCTGGTATACGCGAAGGAGATGAGCTAATGGAAATAAACGGTAATTTACATTAGTACTAAATAAACTAGAAAAATAGTTTATTGATGAATAGTTTTAATAAAAAATAATTAACAAAATTTCTAATAATCGGGTTGATAATATTTTTTTTTTTTTTTTTTTTTGGTAGTAGTGCACAATAGGTGAAAGACTCGACGGAGTGGCAAGTGAAGCAGCTGCACAAAAGCTCAGGGGACATGTTGGAACAACTGTTACAGTAAAAGTTCACACTGTAAGAACACTTCACTTGCATTTTAAAAATAAATACTGTTTTTCGAATAATTTTTTTTAAATATAATTGTAAATGTCGATTGTGAAAGCTGGTTAATTAATTTTGAACTTCATTGGTGCATTTATGTTTATCCAGGTTGTTTGAGCCGTAATTTTTTTTTTCTTTCTTATTTTACTTTTATTTAGAAATGCTAATTCCGCCCCATCGCTATCTCAAGGGCGGTTTGGTAAAAGCAGGACTCGATGTGGCTCAGATTTGGCTGGATGGAACCAAGACTTTAGTCAACACTATCGATAGAGTCGGGAATATGTTACCAATAGACATGATCGATGGTCATGCTTTAACACGCGATCCACTTGTTGTCCTTGTAAGTTTGATTTCTACCTCCGGCCTTAACCTCGCTCCATATATTATTGTTCGGGGTGATATACGGGGAAGAAGAAATAGGCCAATTAAATATCTAAATAAGGATAATGGTAGTAATAGATCATCGGCTGATTTCCATATTGCAATGCTAATGAAATATTAAAAGTAGCAACCTAAAATCGCAAATTAATTACTAATGCTTTGATATCTGTATCTTCGAATTTGGTGCTTCTAATGTCTGTAATATGGAAAACACCCAAATGGGGAATGGTCTTGTCAACATTTTTTTTATAAATGGAAAGTTACATTACATCGAATAGTTTTGTAGTTGTCGCCCCGTCTAGATGCGTATGAGTTTTACTTTCATTTTCTCAGTGTAATTCGTACAATCACCTAATTGATACATGTTTACTGGCTATTTGTGGTTTATAGCTGAAGTTTAATTGTGTGTGTTTATCTTTTCAGTAGTCGCAAGTTGCTGCTTCAATTTGTTTTTTTTTTTAGTTCTTTGATTGAAATTGTCGACTGATTTACAATTAACCCTTGAATGGTTCTAATATTAAAATTGTGTTTTCCAATGAAACAGAGAGACATCGTATACACGGGAGACACTCTCAAAACTTCATCGTTAGCTATGAGCCGCATGCCGATGAAGAACAAGTAAAGTTTATTCTATAGGCGTGCAGAAAGACAAGGTGAGTTTACTAAGTGTTGATTGCTGCCTTACCCATCAGTGCCAGAAATTTCTTTGCATGCTAATAGAGGATGTTTACATGTTTGTTCATAGCATGTATTGAAATTGAGATTATTTTTTTATATTACAATCACCCCCATGATGTGAGGTCTATTTACGAAACCCCCCCTCAATTTTCTATAATTACATCCATTCATAGCAATTTGTAGATTTCTTACATTAACTTCCTTTTGTAGGGGTTGTATGTAAGAAATTTATAAACTGCAGGGGTTGTATGTAATTTCTCAAACACAAGGTTTATTTTGTAATTACACTTTACATCACGAAAAAACCCCTTATTTTTGATAAATTATATTCAGCCCCCTTGCAGTTTGTAGATTTCTTACATCTAACCCTACAAAGGGAGTTAATGTAAGAAATCTACAAATTGCAAGGTGTAGATGTAACTATGTAAAAAATGAGGGGGGTTTTGTAAATAGATATTACCTCAGGGAGGTTATTGTAGTTTACCCTTTTTTGTTTAAATTTGTTAATGCAAGTAAAGTATAGGGGCATATTTGTCATTTCACTTGGAAGGGAACAAAAAAGTAAATCATGTGACTCAACAATACATATAAATGAAATTTGACATTTATATTAAAAAATCAAGACTAATCAAACAAGGCCTTGTTTGTTTTAATTGAATTGAATATGGATGGTGGGTGTGTTCTGTCAAATCTCGTTTCAGGCATTATAATTCAGTATCTAACGCTCGTTAAGAGAGTTGGTATCGGACATTTGTTATTATAGCAAATATCGAAAATTTAAATTTTACGCCTTCCTTAGGGAGCCTCTGTTTTAGCACTTTACGCATATCAAGTGGACGAGGACATTATTTCGGGCTTTTTGCTTTGCCCGGAATTCGAATTCTTTCCAAAATCAAACTATTGAATTCATAATACAAGACTATAATGTGGCATTGAAACACTATGGGAAGGGAATCCAAATAAGAATATTCCCATTGCATGCTCCATTTTTATAATTAGGTGGATTAAATTGTCACATATCTAATTAAACAAGTGAAATATCCAAATAATTAATTCTTAATCAGGGAATTTGTATAGGAGAAAGAAGTTGCAAGGATTGAATAACATCAAAATCAGGTAAGTCTAGTGGCGGCAACGAAAAATGGCTCTACGTCGAGCTTCCCCTTCTCATCTCCTCCATCGTCATCAGAGCCGCCACCGTGTTCTTGAATATCCCTTCCCCGGGAGCCGCCCTCTCTCCTTGGAATATTCCGGTACCGGAATATTCCGGCGGTGGAAACACCGATTCTATTGTGGTTTCGCATTCCTTTACGAGCTTCGAGATCAAGTCGGTCGTGAAGAACGGCTGTTCCAAGACTTTTTGGATGAACGGTAACCGTAAAACTCCACCGGTTCTTTTGTCGTGCTTCTTTACTATCTTAGCCAACCCTGAAAATTATCGAAATAATTAGTTTATATATATTTAGAGATGATGAATTTGATTTTTAAACTAATTAAAATTACGTTACCTGTGTAATTGATATTGCTGTAGTTCATAAGGAGAAACATTTCACCATGGAAGTTGACTATTTCTTTTCTGATCTTTGCCATCTCATCTTTGAAATCAAGATCTGACGGCTGAAATCAAATAGATTGAGATTTCAGCTCAGTCTTCCAATTTCACACCAGAGATTCACACTTCCAAATATACACCACCAGAGTACCTCAAGGAGAACAGATCTCCTTTCTCTCAAACACACTCAAACCCTAAAATACCCAGAAAACCACGAAGGAAGAACAGATCAAGCACTCAAGCTAACCCACTCACCAAAACCCCAATTTCTGAACTCACAAAGAAGAAAACGAAGGGATTTAGGTCTGACTAGGGTTTATCTCTGTCTTACCCTCTTCCAGCCTCCATGCCAACATATATAGGGACTGAAGTCAAAGAGAGCCGGTGAAGGCTGTACCGGAGGGTCAAAGTCAGCACTGTACCGTGCACTTTGACCTCCAGCCATAACTCAGTCAAGGCAGTACAAGGGAGGAAGAAGACAGAAGCAGGAGCGGCGGAGAAGAGAGGGAAAGATTTAGGGTTTCAGAGTGAGAGAAACGAAGAGAGAGAAAGAGCTATTTAAGTGAGGCACTGAACGGTCCAGATTAAGCCTGAGATCCAACGGATGGATCTGGCTACTAAATGGGCTGGGCTCACTTAAACTAACTTGGGCTCAACTCATGGTGGTGTATATAAATAATGGCAATTGGGCTTTATGGCCCAGAACATATTTGGGCCAAAATCCAACAATTCGTAAAACTCCACCGGTTCTTTTGTCGTGCTTCTTTACTATCTTAGCCAACCCTGAAAATTCTCGAATAATTAGTTTATATTTAGGGTAAATTACGAACCCCTTAACTTAGACTAAATTACATAAAAGTATCCCCACCTATCATTAATTACTAAAATCCCCAAGACGTTTGTTTCCGTGTTACACCAACCCCATTAAAGCGTGTTTTTTCGCAAAATCTTTTTGATTCGAAGGAATATTCCCAAAAAATGCCAATTCTACACATGCAGACGTTACATTTCTTTGTGCTACATTTTAAAGAAAATTTAATAATTACCCTAATAGGGCCTTTATATGGAATCTTTCTTATTCTTAAATAACACATTCACGAGTTTTTTGTATTGCCATTATCGGTAATTTTTATGTTCGAAAAGCAACATAAATTAACGCCACGTTGTTGAGTGTAGATTTTACGCCTAATACGCTTACTTTACGTGGATCTTTTGTTTAGATTTAATTATATTTGTGCTTTAATTGATTGATTTTGTGTTTTATAGGTGAAAAACAAGAATTAGGTGTCCATGAAGGAAAATAGATCAAAAAGAAAAGAATAAGTTGCAAATAAGGAAATAAATCAAATTGGAAGAAGGAATCGCGCCACACTTTTGGCAGTGTCCATCATTTCGAGCATATCTCTCATACGAACTCCAAATCAGCTGATTTTGGCGGCATTGGAAAGCTAATTTCAAGGGCTACGATTCTTATTTACACAACATTCCAAAATTCGGATTGCAACATGGAGAAAATCGAAGAACAAGTCATGATGGGGGAAAATGGCGGAAATTGATTCCTATTAGGTTTCCACTACTTCCTTATCAAGAAAAGCTTATAAAAGCAATAAGTCTCTACATCATAAGCACGGAATTTTACACCACAAAACGGGAGGAACGAAGATCAACGAAAACTCAAGCATAATTTTTCTTATTTAATTTATTTCTTTTATTTTCTTTATCATAAGAACCACGAGTAGCTAAGTCTTTAGTTTCTAGGATTTTATTTGGAACCCTATGTGGGATTTATGAACCCAATTCTATGATTTTATGCAAGTTTTAATTCCGGATTATTTCTTCTACTTGTTTTATTAAGTGCATGAACTTGATCACCTTATGTGCTTTTATGTTATTGTTAATCGCATGAATCGGAAGATCAGGTTAATAATTAGAATTGTGGTAGAAGAGCATTTGTGGTATTAACATAGGAATATAGTTAATCTCTTAGGTAGCCATTATTGAGATTTGTGCTTAATGTTGTGTTCTAGAATTAATTACATAGGAATATAGTAATTGAATATAGAGTATTAGAATCGTAATACACGCGAAAGCGGGTTATGATTATTTTAGCATCTCAGGTTAATAATCCGGGTTAATTGTTTGCATAATTGAAGGAATTTGGGGAGTAGTAATCACATAGGAGGAAGAATAAAATCTTAGGCTTGTTTACTTTGATTAAATCTTCGTTTTAACTGCTTTCTTGCTTTGTCGTTTTAATTTGCTTTTTAATTTATTTTAATCTAGTTAATTCTCTCTAAAATCGACTTTGTAGGGTGGGCTTGATAATAATTGGTAGAATTTAGCGCATAGGATTAGATAATTAAATATTCTCTATGGGATCGATACTTGAACTTAAAAATCCACTTTATTACTTGTACAATACGTACACTTGCGTGTAGGTTTTCGGCCAACAATGATAATATTTGACTTTTTAAAATATGAATCAACATTAGTTCATAAATGATGAAATCAGATTTAATTCAATCTGTTTTTCGTGTTTTATATATGTATAGCGACGCTGCGGCGGAGGCAAAGAAAATGCCAAATTTCAATTCCATAACTTAAATTGTCAGTTTTTCAAGAATAAATTTAGATAGTAGCAAATTTTATTTTTATTTTCGGTTTTCTAATTAATCAACCACAGTCCACAAAGATATTCGGTCGGCCTACTTCGGTGTTGACCAACTGAATTAGGGTCCGTTTGATTAAATAATAGGATTTATCACTTAATCTCAAGTCTCAACTCTCACTTGACAATATCAAGGTGAGGGGTTTGTGAGGGAAATGAGTTTTGAGGTGTTTTAATTATTTGGTATTGAAGAAAGAAAAATAATATTTGTAATATGAAATATATGAAATATTATCACTTTTGTGGAATTTTCGGGATTATATGAAATAGTATCACTTTTGTACCCGTTTTATACCATTCAAACTCTACATTATGAAGTAAGATGATCATAATATGTGATTTTTAGCTTGTGTATATCAGTTTGTAGTGCATCGAAAACTGTATTTTTACACAAAACGAATACAAACTAGAGCACATTACACGAAATCTAGATGATTATATTGAATTTGGCACAATAAGGGTGGAGGTGTAAGAAAAAATCATTGTTGAGGGGGGTATATGTAATTATCCAAACAGGAGGGGGGTTTTTATAATTTGACCATACTTCAGGGGGGTTTTTGTAATTTACCCTTAATTAAATATTTGAATTTCATTTGATACTGACAGGTCGAATAATTTTTCGGCCCGACCCACATTGATTGCGGAAGGAGCTCTTCTGTTGTTTTATTGGTCAATACTCAATTGGGTAATAATTAACATCCCTAATCCAATTATACAATTAGATTTTCATAAGATTGTATTATATTATCTTAGTATCCAAATGATACCTTTTTTTTATTCGTAGTGAAAATATTGAAATGATTCAAATATTATTATTATTAGTTTTAGATTAAATTACAACCACAAGTATGATTACATTACAAAAAAACTCCTTATGTTTGGATAATTACATCTATTACTCTCAGCTATGAATCTTCTTACACCTCCACCCTTATTGTGACAAATTCAACATAATTATCTAGATTTCGTGAAATGTTCTCTAGTTTCTACTCGTTTTGTGCACAAATACAGTTTCTGATGTACTAAAATCTGATATATACAAGCCAATAAACACATTTTATGATCATCTTGTTTCAAAATGTGGAGCTCAAATGGCATAAAACGAGTACAAAATTGAGAATATTCCATATAATATAGAAGATTTCACTAAATTTTGAATTCGCAAGAATAGACGTGTAAAAGAATTATTGTTATTTTTAGGATAAATTACAACGACCCCCTGATGTATGGTTAAATTACAAAAAAACATCTCATGTTTGGATAATTACATCTATTACTCTCAGCTATGAATCTTCTTACACCTGCACCCTTATGATGTCAAATTCAACATAATTATCTAGATTTCGTGAAATTTTCTCTAGTTTGTACTCATTTTAGCAAAAATACAGTTTCTGATGTACTAAAATCTGATATATACAAGCCAATAAACACATTTTATGATCATATTGCTTCAAAATGTGGAGCTCAAATGACATAATAATATAGAAGATTCCACTAAATTTGAATCCGCAAGGGTGGACGTGTAAAAAGATTATAGTTTAGGGGTAGTTGTAATTACCTATACAAGAGTGGATTTTCGTAATTTAACCATAGTTAGGGGCGGTTGTAATTTACCCTTATTTTTAAGGGGTAATATGCTATGAGTCCCTCAAAGCAAACCTAATTTGGACTAAATAACAAGTCCAAATCCAATCTGTTAGTTAAATCCTTAATTTGAAACCATATATGACATACATCCCTAATTTTTTTTTATTCCTATATTGCTCTTATACCTTAAATATTTTAACCTACATATTACGTTTCTTTTCTTGTAGCAGATTTATTTCTTTTGGTTCTTTTTTTTTTCTTTCATTTTCTCTGCCCCCCCCTCTCTCTCTCTCTCTCTCTCTCTCTCTCTCTCTCTCTCTCTCTCTCTCTCTCTCTCTCTCTCTCGGCCGATCTCCATATAGCTATTCTCTTTTTTACATAAACCACTATAAAAATCTGTACAAAAATTATAGTGGTTTTCAATAATTATTGTACATATTAATATATAACTGTTTATACAGAGTGGTTTTTATATGGACATAATTGTTATATATAGTGGTTTTCAAGTTTACATAGTTGTTATATAGAGTGGTTTTCATGTTATATAGTTGTTATACATAGCAGTTTTCATATTTATATTGTTGTTTATAAATAGTGGTTTTCACATAGTGGATTATGTTAATGTAAAGTGGATTACGTGATTTTACAGTGATTTGTACAGTAATTTTACAATGGTTTTTGATAAATTTTAGTAGTTTTCGATGAGTATATAGTGGATTTTAATTTTTGTAACCCGGGTGGAAAAAAAATTAAGTTGATTTCACTAATTTAATAGTCGTTTTTTATGAACATGTAGTGAATTACACTAATTTAACAGTGGGTTACACTAATTTAATAGTGGGATTACATTAATATTAAGGTGGATTATGCTTATTTTACAGTAATTTTTACTTTATTTTCATAGTGGTTTTCGATAAATTTAATGGTTTTCGATTATTATGTAGTGAATTTTTTTTATATAAAATATGAACGATTAAACTGAAATAAAATAAAAATTAAAAATTAAAAATTAAAAAATAACAAGTTTTAGTTTAAATTTTGAAATAAAAAAAAACCTATTAAAAAAAACAAAAAAATTCTGGAAAAACACTAAAATTAAATTTGGTGCATGAGATAGGGAGAGAGAGAGAATATGGGGGTGGGTGAGATAGTGGGGAGAAATAAGAGATTTAGATATTTAATTTTTTTAATGATTTTCCATAATAATATAATATGGTAACTTTGGCTAATAATAAATAGTGGTATTTTAGATAATTTGAATCAATTGGATTTATAACAAATATCAATTAAAAAAAATAATTTATTAAGAATTCAAAATTGAATGGAGGGGTTTTGGCAAATAGCCCCTTTAAAATTATAGTTTAAAACAGCTTATTTTTAAAGAAGCAAAAATAAAAATCAGTTTTACAAACACCGGCTTAACCACCTTATATGAGAAAAAAAAGCTCATAATATATTTTTAAAAGTTGTTGCAAACACCGGCTTAACCACCTTAGTCTCTTTGACATTTTCTAGTTAATTATACCTTATTGATTAAATAACATGGTTAAATTCTACTTCAGTTGAGAGCATTCAACAAATTGGCCCATTATATATATTTGGTCCAAATTGCAATACACATCATCTTTTGACACAACCAAGCAAGCTTCCCTCTGTAAGTTTGCCTGAGATATAATACCTCTCTCATTGCATGAAAACAGAGGTTATGCCGTCGAACACAAGCCACGGCGATCATCACACTCGTCGCGACTGTGCCTCCAGGTGCGGAATTTTGTTACCTTTATTAATTAGCTTGTCTTTCGTCATAATTAATGGCTTTGTCTTGCGAATCCCTGCGATTTATTTATTTATTTATTTATTTTTTTGGCCCGGGGAATGATGAAGAACAACGAAAACTGGATATAATATATATGCGTCAACCAACCTTGTAATAATGTTTTTCATATGTTTTTGTTTTCGTTTCAGTACTAGTGATGAGGATGAAGCGATTAGGAGAACACCGGTGCTCACGTACTTGATGACATACACGTTTCCCGGTATTACAATCGGCCTTGTAATGTTGAAATACCACGACAATCCAAACAAGGTTTTCGTCGATAACGTAATACCGTTGTGGTGTTTTATCGCGTCTACTTTCGTTTATTGGCTAATAGCAGAGGCAATGAAGAAATTAACGCAAATAAAATCCGACGGTAATTGGTTTCTTGTGTTACAGTTAGCTGCTCTGGCATCCGGTCTTCTTTCAGTGTTGTCTCAGATATCACTAATCTTTCTACCCTACCCGGATTCGCACGTGCCTCTTATAATCTGGATACCTATGTCCGTGATATTCGGGATGTGGCCTATAACTCATTACATGTATTATAAGTTTATTTGCCCGGGAATCGATACTCTTGTACACAAAATTCGATGCCATGATAAAACAGAGCAGCAACTATCTTCCCCTGTGTAAACCAAATGGATTTGTTGTAGTTATATTTGATATGTACTATGTTTGTTATAAGTGATGATATATGTGAGTTGAATGTATTTATATGTTTGTTCATAACATGTATTGAAATTGTGATTTTTTTTATATTACAATCACCCCCATGATGTGATGTCTATTTACGAAACCCCCCCTCAATTTTCTATAATTACATCCATTCGTTGCAATTTGTAGATTTCTTACATCAACTTCCTTTTGTAGAGGTTGTATGTAAGAAATTTATAAACGGCACGGGTTGTATGTAATATTCCTTTTGTAGGGGTTGTATGTAAGAAATTTATAAACTGCAGGGGTTGTATGTAATATTCCTTTTGTAAGAGTTGTATGTAAGAAATTTATAAACTGCAGGGGTTGTATGTAATTTCTCAAACACAAGGTTTATTTTGTAATTACACTTTACATCACGAAAAAAACCCCTTATTTTTGATAAATTATATCCAGCCCCCTTACGGTTTGTGAAATTCTCACATCTAACCCTACAAAGGGCGTTAATGTAAGAAATCTACAAATTGCAAGGTGTAGATGTAATTATGTAAATTAATGAAGGGGGTTTTGTAAATAGATATTACCTCAGGGGGGTTATTGTAGTTTACCCTTTTTTTTTGCTTAAATTTGGCATAGGGGCATATTTGTCATTTCATTTGGAAGGGAAAAAAGAAAAAGTAAACAACAATACATATAAATGAAAATTTGACATTTATATTAATAAATCAAGACTAATCAAACAAGGCCTTGTTTGTTTTAATTGAATTGCATACGGATGGTGTGTTTTGTTAAATCTCGTTTGAGGCATTATACTTCAGGATCTAACGCTTCGTTAAAAGAGAGTTGGTATCGGGCATTTGTTACTAGAGCAAATATCGAAAATTTAAATTTAAATTTTACGCCTTCCGTAGAAGCCTTTGTTTTAGCTCTTCACGCGTAACAAGTGGACGACGACATTATTTAGGGCTTTTTGCTTTCTCCGTAATTCGAATTCTTTCTCAAAATTAACTTATTGAAATCACAATACAAGACTTATTAGCTAGGGAGTATTATTAATTGTACTATACTGTGGCATTGAAACACTATGGGAAGGGGAATCCAAATTAAATAAGAATATTCCCATTGCATGCTCCATTTTTTATAATTAGATGGATTAAATTGTCACATATCTAATTAAACAAGTGAAATATCCAAATAATTAAAATTCTTAATCAGGGAATTTGTATAGGAGATAGAAGTTGCAAGGATTGAATAACATCAAAATCAGGCAAGTCTAGTGGCGGCAGCGAAAAATGGCTGTAAGTCGAGCTTCCCCTTCTCATCTCCTCCATCGTCATCAGAGCCGCCACCGTGTTCTTGAATATCCCTTCCCCGGGAGCCGCCCTCTCTCCTTGGAATATTCCGGTACCGGAATATTCCGGCGGTGGAAACACCGATTCTATTGTGGTTTCACATTCCTTTACGAGCTTCGAGATCAAGTCGGTCGTGAAGAACGGTTGTTCCAAGACTTTTTGGATGAACGGTAACCGTAAAACTCCACCGGTTCTTTTGTCGTGCTTCTTCACTATCTTAGCCAACCCTGAAAATTATCGAAAAAATTAGTTTATATATATATATTTAGAGATGATGAATTTGATTTTTAAACTAATTAAAAAAATTAAGTACCTGTGTAGTTGATATTGCTATAGTTCATAAGGAGAACCATTTCACCATGGAAGTTGACTATTTCTTTTCTGATCTTTGCCATCTCATCTTTGAAATCAAGATCTGACGGCTGAGATCCATTTGGCCCCCAAGTATCAACAGCTTTCTGTATTCTATGTGGTAATTCCTGCATTAAGGGTTTTGTGTTTATTTTTTTTCATCAATTAATGAATTATCAATTTTTTTTTAATGATTAGAAGAAGTGGTATTAATTGTTTGAAGCTCCATTTGATCGGTGAAAGAATGTTAGGATTAATTAAATAATTCGATTTCATTTGATATTGACCGGTCCAATAAATTTTCGGCCCGATCCACATTGATTGCGAAAGGAGCTCTTATGTTAGTTTATTGGTTAATTGGGTAATAATTAAGATCCCTAATCCAATTATACAATTAGATTTTCATATAAGATTGTATAATATTATCTTAGTATCCAAATGATACCTTTTTTTATTCGTAATGAAAATATTGAAATGATTTAAATATTATTATTATTTTTAGGGTAAATTACGGAATCATTCATGATGTATGGTCAAATTACAAAAAAACCCCTCATGTTTGGATAATTACATATATCTTCTCAACTGTGAATCTTCTTATATATCCACACTTATGGTGTCAAATTCAACATAATCAGCTAGATTTCGTGAAATGTTCTTTAGTTTGAACTCATTTTGTGCAAAAATACAGTTTGTGATATACTAAAATCTGATATATACGAGCCAAAAAACACATTTTATGATCATCTTGCTTCACAATGTGGAGCTCAAATTGCATAAAACAAGTACAAATTGAGAATATTCCATATAATATAAAAGATTCTACTAAATTTGAATCCGCAAGGGTGGACGTGTAGAAATATTTATAATTGAGAGGTAATTGTATTTATCTAAACAAGAGGGGATCTTTCGTAATATAAACATACCTCAGGGGTGGTTATAATTTACCCTTATTTTTAACTTTAGGGAATTATAAACCTATTTAAAGAAACAAAAAAAACGGAAATAGAAAGACTAATTAATTTAAATTACCTTGTGGCGAATAACGAAGTCCTCTTCTTGCTCCATAAAAAAGGAATTAAATTTGTCGATCTCATTGTTCAACAAGTACATAAACTCCGCCTCCGCCTTCCCGTACTCCGACGGCGATCCGCTCATTTTCGCCGGCGCCGACGTAATCAACCGGAGTAGCTTCTTCAACTCCTTGTACGACAGATACTTATCTCGCCAATCTGGTAAACTCTGTTCTATTTGCTGCTTCAATCTCTTCCCAAACTTCATTGATCAAATTTTCTCTCTCTACATATATGTAATATGTGTGTGTATGTATATGTATGTATGTAAAGGCTGTAATCACCAAAAAATATAATTAAAAAAAAATGTGAGAAATGTGTGTTAGTGTGTGTGTGTGTGTGAATTTGGGGGATTTATTAGTAAAAAAAAGATGGAATATTTGGAGAGCATATGCTTGGGGGTGATGACGTGGCGGTTAGAAAAGGTATAAAAAAGGAGAGTTGAAGAGTGAGAATTCCTCAGCATATTCTTTGTTACTACAGTCATACTTATGAGTTATGACCAAAGGGGGGCCAATTAATTACTTTTTTTTGGGGGGGATTAATTATTTAATTAATCACAATTAGTACCTTATTTTTTCACCTACTTGCAAACTAATAACATGCAAATTCAATATTTTAACTTGTAAAAAATAAATTCATGCTTCTTTTTTTTTTTTTCTGTTAATTGTACGTAATTCTATACTATTCGCTCGATTTTTTTTTGTTGGTAAGTTCGATATTTACGTACAATAGTGGAGTCATTTTATATAAATTTATGATGTTACTATTACGTTAATATCTAAAAGTCATAATAATTCTCTGCCTAAAATAACGGTTTTTTCGTGGTTGGAAGACCATGGTCCTGACAGTGCTATGCTGGATCAATGTAACTTGTAATTGATATAATTAAATTATCAAGACGAAGATTAAAACAATTGAGTATATTTTAAATAAGTGGTTATTAGTTACATGTGAGGATTAGTAAAATAACAATTTATGAAATTGGAATTAGGATTTGGGAGGGAATTATTCCAAGGAATCTTCTTAGAATCTCCCATGGGAATGGAAAATAACTAAATATAGATAGAAGACTTCAAATGTGGGAATGTGTTCTTTAAGATGGGGACCCCACCGGTGTAGTTATTTATTTATTATTCCACTTATTTAAAATTAAAGTCTACCTACATATACTTTAGGTTAAATTAAAATCATAGATAAGGTACGATTAAATTATGAAAAATTCCTTTCATATTTGAGTAATTACAACCATTCTTTAACTGTGAGTTTTCTTACATGTTCACTCTTATGATATCAGATTTAACATAATCTTTTAGATTTTATGGAATGCTCACTAGCTTGTACTCGTTTTACGCAAAAATACAGTTTCTGATACACCACAATCTGATATTTACAAGTCAATAAACACATCTTATTATCATCTTGTTTCAAAATGTGGAGCTCGAATGGAATAAAGCGGGTACTAAGTAAAGAATATTCCACATAATCTAGAAGATCCCACTAAATTTGACACCGTAAAAGAGTGGACGTGTAAGAAGATTTATAGTTGAGGGGTGGTTGTAATTACCCAAACAAGATAGGTTGTTTCGTAAATTGACTATACCTTAGGGGTTGGTTGTAATTTACCCAATATTAAAAACTTCAATCCGGAAATAAAACCCTACAACACGACGCCGTTTTAATTATCAAGATATTTAGCTCACGTTATCCGAAATTGTCTCCCAGCCAGAAATTATCAAATTAATTCAGACAGCTAAAACCTCAGCTAAAACCCTTACTCCCCTCCATTGTTGGCCATGCTCCAGCAAAAATGGCTGTCTCAGCGAAAACCCCACCTATTTCTCTCAATCCCGACCACCCAAATCCCCATTTTTCCAAAAACCCAATTCTCAAAACCCAGAATTATTCCCAAACCATCTCCAAGAACAATCAATTCTCTCTCAAGAAGAGGCACCACAATTCTCTCTCTAACTCCACTTCCTCCTTCACCGCGGACCCGAACTCGTACTTAACTCAGCTCTGCGTTCAGAACGAGCTGAACCAAGCTATAAATTTCCTGACTTCCATCGGAAAAGAGCCTCAAATTGATATAGAGGAAGAAACCTTCGTGTACTTGGTGAGGCTGTGCGAATTCAAGAGGGCGTCTGAAGAAGGTTCGTTAATCTATTCCATGGTGTCGAAATTGATTACCCACTTGAGTTTAAGGCTTGGGAACGCGCTCCTGAGCATGTTCGTGCGGTTGGGCAATTTGAGCGATGCATGGTACGTGTTTGGTAAAATGAATGAGAGAGATTTGTTTTCTTGGAATGTTCTGATTGGTGGGTACGCGAAGAAGGGGTTTCTAGACGAGTCGGTTGAGCTTTACGGTCGGATGTTGTGGCTTGGTGGGGTTGGAATTCGGCCCGATGTGTATACTTTTCCCTGCGTGTTGAGAGCTTGTGGTGGGTTGAGCAATTGGGAGTGGGGAAGGGAGATTCATGCCCATGTGTTGAGATTCGGGTTCGATTCCGATGTTGATGTTCTGAATTCACTGATCACTATGTATGTCAAGTGTGGGGATCTCTCGGGCGCCAGGAAGGCGTTCGACGGAATGTCTAGGAGAGATACAATCTCATGGAATGCGATGATTTCTGGCTATTTCGAGAATGGGGAGTGTTTGGAAGGTTTGCGCTTGTTCTTTTCCATGATGGAATCTTCCTTTCATCCCGATTTGATGACAATGACTAGCCTGATTTCAGCGTGTGAAGACTTTGGCGATCAAAGACTCGGAATTGCCGTTCATGGGTATGCTGCAAAGACAGAATACAGAGTTGAAGAGTCGGTTGGAAACTCGTTGATCCAAATGTATTCAAGTTTCGGAAAGTGGAACGAAGCAGAAAAAGTCTTTGCAAGAATCGAGTCTAAAGATGTGGTATCTTGGACATCAATGATTTCTGGTTATAGCAATAATGGATGTCCGAAAAGGCAATCGAAACTTATAAAACAATGGAGATAGAAGGTGTGGAGCCCGATGAAGTCACTGTTGCCAGTGTTTTATCCGCCTGTGCTTCTACTGGTTCACTAGATATAGGCGTAAAGCTCCACGAGTTTTCCAAAAGAACCGGTCTAATCGGTTATCTGCTCGTTGCGAATGTTCTTATCGACTTCTACTCCAAGTGTAAATGCATAGACAAGGCTTTGGATGTCTTCCATCAGATTCCGGACAAAAACGTAATATCTTGGACAACGATTATTCTCGGTCTTCGCATCAATAACCGATGCTTCGAATCATTAATCTATTTCAGGCAGATGAAAGTCACTCTAAACCCTAACGACGTCACCTTAATATCTGTCCTTTCTGCATGTGCGAGGGTAGGGGCATTAATGTGTGGAAAAGAAATCCATGCACACGTACTGAGGAGTGGATTAGGGTTCGATGGATTTCTACCGAACGCACTTCTTGATTTGTACGTGAGGTGTGGTAGAATGGGGCCCGCAATGAATCAATTCAAGACACAGAAACGGGATATCGCCTCCTGGAATATTCTCCTCACGGGTCATGCTCAGAGGGGGCAGGGTGCTCTGGCAACAGATTTGTTTCGTGCGATGATGATGTCAGAGGTAAGACCGGACGAGATCACGTTCGTGGCTTTACTATGTGCATGCAGCAGATCCGGTATGGTGAGCGAAGGGCTAACGTATTTCAACAGCATGGAAACAGAATATTCCGTTTCTCGGAATCTGAAGCATTACGCTTGTGTAGTGGATTTGCTAGGGCGTGCTGGAGAATTAGACGAGGCGTATGATTTTATACAGAGAATGCCTACCAAACCAGATGCAGCTATATGGGGAGCTTTGTTAAATGCATGCAGAATTCATAGAAACGTTGAACTCGGTGAAGTGGCTGCTAAGAATATTTTCGGAATGGATAATATGAGTGCAGGTTATTATATTCTGCTGTGCGATCTTTATTCAGACAGTGGGAAATGGGATGAAGTTGCGAAGTTGAGGAAAATGATGCGAGAAATGGGGTTGACTATCGACCCTGGTTGTAGTTGGGTTGAAGTTAAGGGAAAAATACACGCGTTTCTTTGTGGGGATGATTCTCACCCGCAAATACGAGAAATTTCGGGTATTTTGGAGGGATTTTACGAGAGAATGAAGGTGGAAGGTTATGTTGGTGTAGAGAATGAAGTTGAGGCTTCGAAAGCGGATGTTTTTTGTGGGCATAGTGAGAGATCGGCCGTTGCTTTTGGGTTGATAAATTCTTCACCCGGGATGCCTATTTGGGTGACGAAGAATTTGTATATGTGTGAGAACTGTCATAATACGATGAAGTTTATTTCAAAGGCTGTAAGAAGAGAGATTTCTGTTAGAGATACGGAGCATTTTCACCTTTTTAAGGATGGGAGCTGCTCTTGTGGAGATGAGGGCTATTTCGAGAAGGAGATAACTTGACCACACGAACAAAACTCTTTACGTACGAGGTGTACTATGTTTCAGCAGAATTTTCGAACACACGGAAGCTCAGATTGTTGATTTGCTTGTAAGAGTAGAAAGGGTGGATGCATGTAAATACGGAAGATGTTTCGGACAAACTTCTTGCCAAATGATGTGTTTCCTTCTTCCTTGCGGTGAGTGTTCGTCTACTGTAAAATGTTTTGTAGTAACAGAATTGATTGAAATGATATATATACATACATAACTTCTTGCTTTCTCCTATTTATACACACACTGACACACTGTTTTCTGTGCAAAAGTTGACACGAGGCATAAAAAAACTTTTCGTATTTGAAAAACCGAATATTGTACACATATATTTATCAAAACAACAAGCTGTTATTAAATACATATTTCACAACCAATGTATCAAACAAACGAATAACAAATTTCACACCGTTATTTATCTAGGAGACCACGTCTCTCAACAAATCACACACACACATACACCAGCCAACCTTAAATCCTAACTGCTTTCTTAATGGTCTTGATTGATGATTTAATGAAGCTGTTTCTTGCTGCATGGACATCATCATTATTATTATCGTCGAGTACCAAGGGTTTTTTTCTCATGCAGTCAACTCTCTTCTTCATGCCTTCCAATAACAGAGATGGAGAAGAAGGGATTCGTCGGAACATTCTAGCACTTTCCGACCTCCGAAGTTCCCTCTCCTTGCCACTTTTCTCCTTTCTCGCACTCCCAACGGGGCTACTTATTCTGGCATTCTCTTTACCAATGGTAACCGATTCCTTCCCTTTTAATTTTTCCTGCACGATCTTGTACGGAGGGTTCTTAAATGGAGTGTTCTCGTTTTCTCTGTCTGAATTCGACTTCTCAGCTTCCACTTCATCAACACTTCCTTTTGTGTACTTCTCTTTCACAGTCTCTGTTTCTTGAGCTTTCGAAGCTTTGATCTCTCTATGTGGATGATTCAGTTTTGTCGGGCCCTTTTCGTCGCTGATTTGAGTAATGAAATCGGAATCTTCATGCGTATTATCATTATCGAGCAGAAATTGCATCCATTTCTCTATATTCCCTTTCCCACGTATCTTTCTGCTCTCTTCGTCGTCTTTCTCTTCGTCTGATTCATGAGGAAACGGGAATTGGATGTTGAATATTCTCCCCCCGTCTTCAATCTCCAAATTCTCTAGCCTTTCTTCAACGACGTACTTGTTATCCTCTCTGACAACCGCGTCTTTGTTTCGAGTCGTTTTTTCGTCTCCTCCAAGTTCTGCTGAAGAAGCTATCTGCTCCTCCTCCAAGAACCTTCTCAGTTCCTTGTGCAAAGGGGCAGCATGATTAGACTTCATTTCTGGCAAAC